TGGACGTAGCGTATGTAAAACCGCATGGTACCACGTAGTGCTGATATGATCTGTTCTGGTAGGATGAAACGTGCTTAAAACCCCCCATGATTTTTGGGTTTAGGTAGACAGGATGAAACGGGCTTAAAACCCTATGATTTTCGGGTTTAGGTAGACATTCTTAGACCCACGCTTGCAAACCTGCTGGGTTGATTTTTTTTGTCCATTAACAATTTTTATGAGTAGAAAAAATTGATCTATGCGCGAGTGCTAGTAGGAATGTAGGATAACAAATCGATCAGGTTCTAAGGTAACCTTTTGCCATCTCTAGTGTTGTGCGAGTAACCAGTTCAACTATGCCCGCACGGCGTACTGGTACATATTTACCATCATTAAAATGTGAGTGGTATAAAAAATACTATGTCAATGACTCATGTGTTAATGACACAATATAAGATGCTATCCCTGATAATGGTAAATATGTAAATCACCGTGACCCCGTGACGATGACGACTGACGACTTCCTCGTAGCCTTGCATGCAGCTACCCCGTACCCCTGTGGCGGCTGGGGAGCAGGACCGAGGAGAGCGGAACGGAAGATTCTGGCGTTGTTCTCACCACAACCGCCGGCTATGAGGCCGTTCGCTGGTCTGGTCTAAACCAACCAGCCGGCTGATCTCCCTCATATTTTACTGTTTATCGAATCAGCCGAATAGTATTCTCTCTCACACAACCAGTCAGTTTCAGCCAAGATTCTACCAGCCGAACGGGGCTGATACCGTCCCAGTCTTCCAGAACGGACCAGGACCGTCTCCTTCCGTAGCTTGCCCCGTCGAATGTCCACGCATTATCGCTTCGAGAGGTCCGATCCGGTGAGGGCGCCAGCCGAGCTTGACGAGTTCAAACATCCTCTGGGGAGTCAGATAGTAAGCTGTGTCCTTGAAAACACTTCTGCCTATAGCTAGCGGTGGACTAATTCCCTTCGTGGCTTTTTTATAAGAAAGAAAATTACATTACATAGTGATACATGGACGTGGACGTGCTTGGAGCTTGGTTCTTACTCCGCGGTTGAATTTGGACCGACTGAGCGCGTCTACGTATTCCATCCAATCCAGCAAAACCAACAGTACATCATGATCCACATCAGAATTCAGAACTGCCGCGTACTCCGGCTTCCAAGAAAACCAGAAATAAACGGAGAAACTTCTGTTATCCCAATCAATACAGTTCACGGCGGGTTTACAATAGTAGCTCCCCGGCTGGTCATGCATGATGTATGTCCTGGCCTTCTAGAAATTTCCTTGTCAAACACTCGAAGAAGGGTAAAGTACACTTTCTAACCCTCAACTCGCGCCGAAGTTCGATTTTCAACCTTCAACTATGAAACCGGTTAAGAAACACCCTCCAACTATCAAAACCGGACAAATTTGGTCCTCGACTGGTTTCAAAAGCGGTTTTCTATTTTCGGGAGGCGCCGAAATTTTATATTATTTTTTTGAGCATCTTAACGTCCTCAAATGAAAAAACCTCAAAACTATAAAGTTGTAGATCTCATTGAAAGCTACAACTTTGGTATAAAAAGTATTTTTATTTAACTCCATACAAATAATATATTAGTGCTCTAATGCGGCAAGCGCTAGTATTAGAACTAATATATTAGTGCTCTAATGCGATAAGCGCTAGTATTAGAACTAATATATTATTTGTATGGAGTTCAAAGAAAATACTTTTTATGCCAAAGTTGTAGCTCTCAATGAGTTTTTTTCATTTGAGGACGTTAAGATTCTAAAAAAATAATATAAAATTTCGGCGCCTTCCGAAAATAGAAAACCGCTTTTGAAACCAGCCAGGGACTAAATTTGTCTGGTTTTAATAGTTGGAGGATGTTTCTTAACCGGTTTCATAGTTGAATGTTGAAAATCAAACTTCGACGCGAGTTGAGGGTTGGAAAGTGTACTTTACCCCTCAAAGAACCTTCTTCTGCTTATTACAACCATTGACTATCCAGAAGCAAGCCTTGTAGGAGCACATCAATTAAATCATCAGGATAAATAAATTAAACAGATCATGCGGGTTGCGGGTGCGCCTTTTTTTCGCGAACATGTGCCGAAGCACAAGTTCTTTTATTAAGAGGAAAATCATGCGGGTGCATGCATGGCAGCTGCAACCGGTCAGCGGTCAGTGACGGCCGCCCGCTCTAGTCAATCCAGCAGAGCAGGTAGCTCCAGGAAATGGAACGGAAAGACAGACCTGGAAGAGGCCAAACGGAAGCAGCACACACAAGCTAATAAAAAATATCTCGTGTGCTGCCGCGCATCTCCGCCGATCCTTCGCTAATCGCATTCGGCTGAGCGAGAGCAAGGAAGAAGGCCCAGCCGCCCACCCGACCAGATTCGCCGCCTGCACAAAGACGTGGCGTTTGGCAAATGGGTTATGAGAGATGAGATTCCGAAAGGAAAATTGATAGATAGCTAAGATTAAATGAGGTGCGAAGGATGGATAGTTAGAATACAATGTTACCTTTTGAAGGATGTGATATTATTTCCCTGTGCCAGAATCCAAACGTCCACAAGATTGTTTATGTGCATCGAGGCCTTGTTTAGATCCCATCAAAATTTCAAGTTTTTTCACTCTCTCTCCATCACATTAATTTTTGAACACATGTATGGAGCATTAAATGTAGGTAAAAAAATAATTAATTACACAGTTTAGTTGTAAATTACGAGACGAATCTTTTGAGCCTAGTTAGTCCATGATCGGACAAAGTTTGTCAAATACAAACGAAACATGTTACCGTGTCCAGATTGCAAAAATTTTGCAATCTAAACCAGGCCCAACTGGGGCGGCAAGCCACGCGACCGGGGTTTCCGAACATTCGCTAGCTAGCTGCTTTGCTTTAAAGCGACTGGACATCATCATCATTTATTCATTTCGTTACTAGACGAAGAAGATATAAAGTACTCCCTCCGTATTATTTGCACATACTGCTATTTTATATGAACATCAAATTTCTCACATGTTACATGATGATGAAGTGCATTGTTGTTGCTTTTCGTGAGGAAACATGCATGGCCGACGAGTGCTCTACTCTGCCTTTTGGGACTCCCTAGTTAATTCATTCTACGTCTGCTCTTTTTGTAGAGAAATGTGTTGAGCCACCCGTAGACCTTGCGGCACCGTGGCCCGTGGGCGTCATACCCAGGTGCCGCACCGGCCAACCCCAGGTGTCGCCCATGCGGTGGGCATTCAGCCTGGTCGTTTGGTTGTATTTGACTTATAAGTCATGACTTATCAGTCAATAAATAATATTTTTCTTTCTTATCAAACCAGCTAATAATATTTTCAGCCATGATTTATGAGCCAAATAAACTCAAACAAACAGGGCGGCTGTTGCCCAATGCCCCACTCGCGCCGCTACGAGGTTCATGCGGGCCCGCAAAGTGGTTACTACCGGGAACAATGAACGGCTATGCACGCACGCACCTACGGCCTCGTTTGGCACGCCCCGGCTTGTGTAGCTTGGGCCTCGTTTGGCACGCCCCGGTACTGTACGAATATGGATTGGGTAATCATGGCGACGCACCTGTATTTGTGTTTCGTAATGATGCTAATGGACTAACGAATACAAGAAGTCCAAGATAAATAACACATAATAAGGGGGTCATAATGCCACATCAAAAGGTGAACATCCTACAATTCCTTGTCGAAGGTTAGCGACGATCCACTGTTGCGTTCTTCGGTCCGTGACGATTCACTCGATCTGGCCTGTGTGTTAGAGCAACTCCAACCGAACTTTTACTTGAGCCCTCATCTTATTTTGAGAGTTCAAACACATCAAAAACCTCTCCAACCGAACCCCTATTCAAGCCCCGATGGATGAGGGACTCTCATTTCTCTCTCCTAAACCCCCAGATGTAGGAGTCCCTCATCCTCTCCTCTCATCCTGCTTTCTCTCTTCCATAAAGCTGACAAATGGAGCCAATAAACAGGGTCCATGACAATACCGTATAAAAGTAGGGAAAATTTAGGAGATCGGTTGGAGTGAGGAGTATGGGATGAAATATGGACGAGGGACTCTCATTTGCAGGAATAGGAGGGCAAAATTTGAGGGATTAATTGGAGTTGCTCTTAGCGATCCTTGCAATAGAAGTTAGACTTACATCGAAATTATGTACTTTGTGAACTATATACGTCCTTCAGCTTGGGCTAGTATTTTAAAGGTTCACGTGTGCTCTAGTTTTAAGAATTTTCGATTGGGTCATCTTTAGCTCTGTAAATTACTAAAGTTGATGGTATGGGCACATTGAAAACCTTTAAACTAAGCAACTTTTTTATGCGCATGTTTAAATCATTTTATTTTCTTAAATCCTGTATCAGTGTATGGACTTTGGAGCTGAAGCAGTACCAATTAGACTCTGGAGTTGAAATAGCTCGCTGAGGACAGAGGAACACGCCACCACGGGTTGGTGGTGGAGAACTGTCCAATCCTTTCAGTGACTTATTTGTTTGCGTAATCAATTCGAAGTGGATCTATGGCTCTGTTTAGTTCATCTAAAATCTAAACTTTAACATTATGCAAAAAGAAGATTTTCCGTCACATCAAATTTACGGTACATACATGGAGTACTAAATGTTGACGAAATAAAAAACTAATTGTACAGTTTGGTTGTACTTTACGAGACGAACGTTTTGAGCCCAATGAGTCAGCAAATAAAAACGAAAAGCTACTGTAGCTACAGTACCTCCATGAAATCCGGCGGCGCCGAATTGGAGACCAACTAAACGTGGCCTATATCTGCCAAGGGACAGGCAAGCTACCGGCCCTGCTACAATATACGACGCCGCCCGTGCCCGTCCGGCAACGTCTCCCGCTCTCGCATATAAACGCTCAAGTTCTACCCCTAGTTGCCGTCTGCCCGTGAGCTCGTCTCCCCCAAATTGGTTCGTGGCACACTCCCAGGCTCCCACAACCCCACCGGCCACCGCCGTTGCTTCATCCTTACCCCTCAACACTAGTGCCAATGGAAACCACGCTCCTCCGGGTCCGGGGCAATGGCCGCCTCCTGCCCTTCTTCCTTCTCTTGCTCGCTGCCGCCGATTTCACGGCGGTGCAGGGCCAGCAGGGGCAGCAGCAGCAAGGGCCATACCCGCAGAGCTTCAGCCCGTCCATGGCCATCGTCATCGTCGTGCTCATCGCCGCCTTCTTCTTCCTCGGCTTCTTCTCCATCTACGTCCGCCACTGCTTCGGCGACGGCTCGGGCGGCGGCTACTCCGCGAATAACCCGGCGGCTCCCAACGGCGCAGCCGCGCGCTCGCGGCGCCAGCAGCGCGGGCTCGACGCGGCCGTGCTGGAGTCCTTCCCGACCATGGCGTACGCCGACGTGAAGGCGCACAAGGCCGGCAAGGGCGCGCTCGAGTGCGCGGTCTGCCTCAGCGAGTTCGACGACGACGAGACGCTGCGCCTGCTGCCCAAGTGCTCCCACGTCTTCCACCCGGACTGCATCGACACGTGGCTCGCCTCGCACGTCACCTGCCCCGTCTGCCGCGCCAACCTCGTCCCCGGCGCCGACGACAACGCCCAGCCGGCCGACGACGATGCGCCTGAGCTGCAGCTGCCGCCGGCGGCTCCCGCGCAGGAGCTGCCGTCGCCCACAGCCGCGCCGCCAGCGGCTGCTGCTGCGGTGGTCATTGACGTGGAGGAGACAGAGGAGGAGAGGATCATCAGAGAGGAGACCGACGAGCTGATGCGCATCGGCAGCGTGAAGCGCGCGCTGCGCTCCAAGTCCGGCCGCGCGCCCGCACGGTTCCCGCGCTCGCACTCCACAGGGCACTCGCTCGCAGTCGCAGCGTCTGCCACCACCGGCACCGGCACCGGCGCCGGCGCCGGCACCGAGAGGTTCACGCTGCGTCTGCCCGACCACGTGCTCCGGGACCTCGCCGCGGCGGGGAAGCTCCAGCGCACCACGAGCCTAGTCGCGTTCCGCTCCAGCCGCGGCGGCAGCACGCGCCGTGGCGTCAGCGTCAGGACTGGGGCCGGCGGCGGCGAAGGCAGCAGCCGCGCCGGGAGGAGCATCCGGCTGGGCCAGTCAGGGCGGTGGCCGTCGTTCCTGGCGCGGACGTTCTCCACGAGGCTTCCCGCATGGGGGTCGCGGTCGACGCGGAGGGGCGCCGAGACGGACGGGTCGAGCAAGGGCGGCAGGGCGGCCGGCGTCGCCGGCGCAACAGGCGCCAAGTCAGTGGAACAGGACGACCAGGCGTGCGCGCCTGGACAACGTGTTTGACCGGTTCTCCCTGTCGTGGTCAAACGGTGGCTGCTAGGAAACTCTTGGTGCTTTCGTCGCCGTCCCGGTGGAAATTTTTTTGTGGCAGTTGAATTTAGGAGAGAACGTGCTTGGTCGCGCTCCACCTTCAGTCCTTCTGGACGCGTTTGGATTCATTTTTTTTCTTATACAGAAGAACATGTGTACATAAAATTAGTAAGTATTTCTTGAAAATCAAGATACATACTCCCTCCATTCCAAATTTTTTTAGACGTTTGACTTTTTTGTCCCAAATTTAACCACTCGTCTTATTCAAAAAATTTGTGCAAATATAGTCAAATTTAAGTTATTCTTGAAGAATTTTTATTAATAAACCAAACCACGACGAAAGAAGTGATTTTTTACACAAATTTTTGAATAAGACGAGTGATTAAACTTGATGTCAAAAAAGTCAAACGTTTTACAATTTAAGATGGATTGAGTAATATATATTACCTGTACAAGTACACACACGTACCTTATCTCTTACATTTGAAAAACATGATTTCTTTTGTTTTCTTGATGGAAGTAATAGGAATCATGTGACAGACAACGAGGCGCCAAATGTTTCTCCCTAAGCACGTCCTACCCTCCTAATGTCAGCGCTCAGCGGAACCCTGTTACTGAATGTTGAGGAGAAAATGTAAGCACTCTAGACAACGCATCCATCGATGCGTCGGACAACACCTAGCATTACATGAAAAAAGTTTAATACCCATTCGATATTTTCTCCAATAACAAAATTTAAAAGAGAATCCTTTCTGTAAATAGTTTTTCAGGTGAAAAGATGCTTATATTTGAGTTATGCATCTCAAACAAATTAAAATAGATCTCTCATATAAGTCCTCTATTGAAGATCGATTTTAGATCTCCTACCATCTATTTTAGATTTAGATACCTACGTGTCTCCTGTTGGAGACGGTCTCGGGCCGTGCATCATCACCCATCAGACTTCAGACACGATTAATGGTGGTCGTGCTGTTCGAATGTTCGATTCGTTCTGTCCCTGGTTGACGTGTTGTTTCCCTGTGAACAGGAAGCTGGCACGTTTGCCGTGTGTTGGTTGACAGATCTTTGGCCTGGTTTAGTTTCCAAAAATTTTCACCTTAAACTATTACATCGAATCTTACGGTATATGTATGGAGTATTAAATATAGACAAAAAACTAATTACACAGTTTTATTGGAAATCGCGATACGGATGTTTTAAGACTAATTAATCATGATTAGCCATAAGTGCTACAGTACTAACATGCGCTAATGATGGATTACTTAGGCTTAATAAATTCGTCTCGCAGTTTCCAGACGAGCTATCCGATGTGACATCCAAAATTTTTCATTTTGCGAACTAAACACAGCCTTTGTAGGTTGTTTTTCTTTAGATTAGACAGGAGATGAAACATGGACCATCACTTGCCAGTTGCCACATACAACAACGGGCGTGTTCCGTTATGCTGAATGAGCTGCGGTTGAGCGTAAACCTATGTTTTTCTCGAATACACAGAAGGGCCGGAAACCATCACGTTAAGAAGATCAAACACATGACTTTGGCGTGCCCACGGCGCGCCCGAGAGAAAGTTAGCTAGATTCTGTTACTGCAAATGTCAATCGAAAGAATTGATTAGCCTTCCACTAACACCTCTTATACAGTGCTCTCCTCTTTTTAATAAAGGTCTGGGAAGCTTTGCTCCACAGTTTGTTAAAAAAAATACTTATTAGAAAATTTATTTCAACTCATAAGGTTGTACATGTATATGGAGAGTATTCCTATGTAGTAACCTACATGACGAAAATGAGCACAAATGGCCACATAAGGGAGGAGGTTAGCCAACCCACCCTATGGTACGAGTGGCTATGCCATGAGCCCAACCAAGGTCAATCCTGGTCTAGAGTGAGAAAACACGTTCATTTTCAAAGGCTGAGATGATCATCACTTAGATTCATGGACCAAAAATTGCATGCAAAGAAACACATACCTCTCCAACTAACCTCCAATAGATCATCCAAGATGCCCAACTCCACATAGGAAGATTGGCGACTACGTAGCACAAGGGAGGTCGGTCGATCATGCATAGGGTCGTCTGACCCCTCCTTGACTCCCAATCAACCGTCACCGACCTCCTCAACAAACCGCTATCAAAAAAACAATTTGAGCACGTGTGGGGAGGGGTTGCTGAGGCGTCGTATACCATGGTCGGTGTAGGGGGTCGCCTGACCCTCCGTATTAGGCAACCAACTCGCAACTTGCTCCTATAAGTACTCCCTGCTCCCATATCACTGTAGAGTGTGGTGCCATTTCTCAACACACAACAAGAAGTACCAAGCTATAAAATCTCCACTTTACTTAGTAGTAGTTAGACTAGTTTAGTTGAGATTTGAGGGGGTTAGAGTCGAGTTGAGTTTATCTCGGGTTCCTGAAGAGTCTTTGGAGTCCAATATAATTCTTAAATCCTTTCGTTCTTAATACTTTGAGATGCCAAATGTCCTCTAGCCTAACTGGTTAGATGGCTCCAGTGGCACCCCTCGGGTCCTGAGTTCGATTCCTCACGGGGACGAATTTCAGGCTTGAGGCTAAAAAAATCCCCTCGTCTGTCCCACACCAAAGTACATGTCTGTGGCCGTCCCGTCTCACGGGGATGTAGATGCTACTGTATATGGGTGGGGCCGGGGTTCGGGGATTTTCTCGAGCTGCGTAAGAAGTTCATCTCTTAATGAAACACCGCGGGGGATGTCTCTCCCCCCATGGCTCGAGTTTTTTTAAGGACTTTGAGCTTCAATATATTTATCGTCTCTATTGGCCTTTGAGTCAACTTATCTTCAACAATCTACATTACCTTAGTTGCATTACTATCTAGTTTAGACCTTAGTAATGTGGATAAGTCTTAGTTCTATTGATTCAAATGTTGTTCCTAGCACAGGATCTCAGTTTGCATCGAATACTCTAATTCTAGAGTGAAATTAGAGTAGTATTCAATAACGTTAATGTGCTATAGGAAAATAGGAAATATATCCAAAAAATTAAGAAAATACCCAAATCATTTTAACGGGTGTCTAAACGTGTTTTTGTAAACTTTCCACAAAACCAATATTTTGTCACAGTACCAAGTTATAGTTTCTTAAGTTTGACTTACTATATATTAAAAACATCAATGTTTATAATATCAAATAAGTATTATTAGATTTGTCATGTTCATAGTATACTTATTTAGCGCCATAAACATTAATATTTTATCTATATATTTGGTTAAATTTTAGATAATTTAACCAAGAATGCATGTAAAACTGCATTCTCTTGTGGAATGGAGGTTGTATTTATTCAAAATTTTAAATATAAAAAGGGACAAAACCACCTCAAATCAAGACGGAGATGTTGTGTGAACAGTTTTGAAAGTTTAGAGATTGTGATGTATGGTTTTAAAGTTCAAGAAGGAAATTCAGATTACCGATGGTTTAAGAAGGTAAAGTAGACCCAACTGGTGCCCTGAGCCCACCCACCATCAGATGAGCACTACGACCCGATATATATATTCAAATCCAACACGGACGCAGTTGGTTTGATTTCTCATGACGGAAATAACGAAAGTTCCAAATACTGTGGGTGTAAATTAGCACCAAAGCAAGCAGACACGACGATCCACTGGGAAAGTGGTTTAGCCCTTGTCTAGTTTCTATGTTAAAACTTTACACCCTATCACATGGAATGTTTGGACGCATGTATTAAATATAAACTAAAAAAATAACTAATTACACAGATTGTGACTACTTTACGAGACGAATCTTTTAAATCTAATTAGTCTATGATTTGACAACAAGGTACTACCGTACACATGTGCTAATGACAAATTAATTATGTTTAATAAATTTATCTTACGGTATGCAGATTCTATAATTTTTTTTTATTAATATCCTAGCATATTGTGAGATATCCCGTGTACCATCTAGAGTGACACCCTATCACTTTAGGTCGTGAATCTAAACACCGCCTCAACATTGAGCCTAATCCATCAGTCCCATAATCGTATCTCTGCGATACAGATTTTGTCCCATAAATAAAGGGCCAAGTAGCACAAAGTCCGATACACAGCAGCAGATGGCAGAACACAGTGGACTACCGAGTCTTCTAGATCAGCATTTAAGGGTGTGTTTAGTTGGGAGCATTTAAGGGTGTGTTTAGTTGGGCGAGATGAAAAATTTGTGTGTCATATCGATGTGTCAGAAGGATGTCAGGAGGAGTTTTTAATATTAATAAAAAAGTAAATTACAGAACTCATCAGAAAACCAGGAGATGAATCTAATGATATTAATTAATCTGTCATTAGCACATGTGGGTTACTATAGCACTTAAGGTTTTTCATGGTCTAATTAGACTTAAAAGATTCATCTCTCGATTTTGCCGAGAACTGTACAATTAAATTTTTTTTCGTCTGCATTTAGTACTCTATGTATATGTTCTAATACATACTGGAGGAGGCAAAATTTTTTTTTTGGAAACTAGACACACCCTAGACAAAGAGGCGGACGGAAGCCTGGGATGTTCTCGTCCACTCATTCCTTGTTCACAGACCCACCGCGTTCGGCTGGTACGTTCTCCACTTGTGCAGCTTATTTTGTCAGAATACTGTTGAACCATCCAAAATTTATTATACAGTGCACCAGCCGAACATCCGTCTTGGTTTTCGTGCCGAAACCTAGAATGCTACTCGTAGAAAGCTTCGATGTTCGAGGTGAAAACTACAGTTTTAGTGAAAACTGAGCGCGTGTTCCACCAAAAAAAAAGTCTTACAGTAGCTATCACATCAAATATTTGCGGTCCGTGTATGGAGCATTAAATGTAAAAAAAAACTAATTGCACAGTTTGGTGAAAAATTACGAGACGAATGTTTTGAGCCTAATTAGTTCATGATTGAACACTAATTGCCAAATAAAAATGAAAGTGCTATAGTAGCCCCAAATTCCAACTTCCTGGGCCTATTTAGTTCCACC